TTCATAATAATTAATATACAACCTGCAAATTCTATTTTTTTAAAACTCAACAGCGAACAGATAGGTGGAACAGTTAGTCACTAACTCATAACTCATAATTATATATTTTTTTTCTCTAACTTCATTCCAACACATGGGTGCGAGACTACATTTAGTTTATTTTTCTGTAATGCAGCTTGCAATGTTCCTTCAACAAATTGTCGGTTTACTCTGGACATTCAAGACAGATGTGACAGTTTGTTAAATGCTATTAGCTTCTGGACCTGTCTCCCGTCAGCGCGATTAAGATACTTACGGGGAATGTTGAGAAGGTATAATAAATGAAATACTGTAGTTCAGATAGTAACCTAAGATTTATTCTCAGCTACCGCACCTCATACCATGTCGGTAGGAATTTGGCTGGTTTTTATTTATCTAGTTTTAGCGCGTGCCAACGTAAGATAATCTGGGCATACCAGTCCACGTCAAGCCATGAAGAATCAGCGCCTGTCAACTCTGGGCAACCCTCGGCTCGGCAGCCCATCCATCTACCACCATCCCTTCCACCCCCTCCCCCTTGTAGACTCTGCCAGTTTACGTCTTTCTTCTTCCTCCCCTGTCTTTTCAAATTTGCTTATCAACTACCATTTTTATTTTTCGAATTAAAGCAGGGAAATTGAGGGTGGCGGGTAGAATCGGGGCCTCATCTATCTTAACATCTCAGCTCGTTATAGGCCAACCTAGCCAGGCTCTGCTCGTTAAAACCATCGTGTCTCCACAGTTGAGGGTGGGGCTCGCTGGCTTCTATCAAATTTTATCAAAGACGTGGAGAGCCTGCCAAAGATTGGATTCATTATCAGCCTCAGCTTCATCGGTACAGTCTCCTTTCCTCGGTATTTTTTTTAAAGGTAGGCCTACTGGAAAGAAACGACAAGGGCAAAGAAGACAGAGGGTCTCGCAGTTTGACGTTGATTACGAGATGAAAAGACGTCTTTAAGGTCTATAGTACTGATTCTGAGTCTCATAAGAGTAATTTCAGCAATTTCATTAACCTTACATAATATCAAGTATTATTATATATTAGAACAGTATTGGAATAAACAATTGCGAGTATTTTCTTGTTTCCTGTTTAAATATCTTCACCATAATGGGGCATGTACGCACACTAAGGTAAAAAAAAACAACAGTAGCCAAACGTTTCCTACGATTATCATCTGTCTCTTTCACAGACACACATATGTTCTCTCCGAAACAAACGATACATGTTCATTCACATTAATCATATTACTCATCCCCCCCCCAAGAATAAAATAAAAAAAGAACAAAAAATTGAATAAATAAATAATCAAACAAACAAACAAACAAACAAACACATAAATAAGTAAATAAGTACAAATAAAGAAAAAAAAACCCAGTTTTCTCTTCGTCTTAAAAAATGTGACAGAACAAAATCAACCTGAGCGCGCGCAGTGCAAATTGCGATATTATTCTTCGCTGAATACAAGCAAAACATTATCCCACATTAATTTTCCATAGCCATTAAAAGAACATAAATCCTACAAAAGCGCTCCCCTGATCCCCTGTAATCGTCCATACGATCGGCCATTTCTAACCCAGCAGGCTAACACACAGGCGCAGAGAGCCAGTCAGACATTTTTGTGATGCTAGGATTTGTGGCGTTCTCTGTTTACTTTATACAAAAAAACACTAATATTACCATATTTACTATAATATTGTGTTTCCTTTCCATATGTTGGCCGGTAACGAAGGCAATGTTTCATGTTACTCAAACTTTGTATGAGCAGTCGGATTGGCTTCTCACTCACACATTGAAGACATTTTCATTAATTAAGGTGTGACCACCGAAATTTATTGACATTTGGACAGCTCGAAAGAGACGAGGTATATTACTTGCCAATTTGCACACAAATCAAGTAAATTAAGCCTGGTGAAATCACTCAAAATTAAGCAAATTAAAAGATTAACGAGAAAGACTTTCAGCAAATTGGCCAGCAAGGGAGACCGTAGATCCATTCAAAGCCATGTAATTAATTCCAATTTGGTCCTCAAAAACTTTCGTTTATGTCTGCGGGTTTCTTTATGTGAGGTAAATACAAAAGCGTGCGTGCACGTGTGTGTACGTGAGTATGCGTGTGTGTGTGAGTGTGTGTGCGTGTATGTATGTGTGTGTGTGTGTGTGTGTGTGTGCGTGT